CCCGCCTCTTCATGAAGGGAATAAAACCTCGCTAATCCATTCATGCGCGTCACTACTTAGATGACGAGGCATTTGGCGATCTGAAGAAAGCACTCCTGCCGTTTACCCGCGCCAGTTTGAATTTCATCACTTTGTCATTTAAATGGTCGCACGAAGTCGCGCTGCGCGTGGAGAGGTTGAAAGAACATACGGTCCATGTAGAGAAGACTCGGGAAGTTTGTTACAGGAGTACAAGACAGTTTGGATGTGGAAGGGCTGGCGTGCATGGATGGATGATGGATGGCTGTGGATGGGCGGCCGTCGGTGCGTGCTCTAGCTTTGTCGCAACTGGCTGCATCGCACTTCCGGAAATCTGCACATGTCTCTGTCCGATGGACCATCTTGTAGGTGGGCCGCAGCAAGACTAACACGGCAGTCTTACATTTCCCCTACTTACTATGCAGTGTCCTTCTTTTTGAGCCACAAAGCCGAGCATCCCAAATAACTCGCCCCGAACCCTAAACAACAAATTCGTACTCCTCCGAGAATAAATAGATTCCGAGGGTCGGGCCCGATTCATCTCCCGGTAGACCTGCGGCCTCCCCAGGGTGGCTTCAGGATCTTAAGGTGCTCCTGTCTCACCTGGCTACTGTTGTTGTTGTTGTTGCATTTCGTGTTCAAAAGCATGCCACGGAAATGTGTAGTACGGAACTATGGCGCGTTGCAGTCACTAGTGCTAGAGTACTCTTTTACGCATGTGTAGCTGGTTTCGGGTTGATGCAGAATTCGTCTTCCGCTGCTTGCACTGTCTCAAGTCCATGCAAGGCGGAATCTGGGTCCCGAACTTGTCGGGAGACAGGTTGATGACCTTGGAAAGCCGACTGCTACTGTAACTCTCGTTTCGCTCTGTTCCCTAGGTCATAGGGGAGGGGCCGTAGTGCCTCGACAAGAAGTTACTTCTCCAGCTGCGATCCTGCGCACCAAACCTGTTTGGTGCCACATGAGGGACTGCCTCTTCCGTCAGAGGAGTCCGAGAGCGATCAGAGGGCGGGTACCTGTCCTTGCGGTGAAGCATATGAGGGCGTGTTCCTCGACGGCCCTAGTAACCTGTCATACAGCAGCGGGGTCGTCCAAGAGCCCGGCACAGTTGGAGATGAGGCAGTCCACGACCCCATCACCTTTCAGGACATCGCAGCTACATTGAATCCGGGTGCAAGATGTGGGCCATAGACAATAGAATAGGACAGGCCAGTTGCAAGAGTTGATCACCCCAAACTCCCGAAGCTAGGAAGTCGAAGGTTCTCCTTGCCACAAGGCCCGACATCGTCGAAATAATCCCCCAGCCTACGGGGAGATGCTCTATCTCACCCAGGCGGAAAGTCCTTGGTCTGACTGATGATTGGCGGGAAACGGGATTCTCAGCTAAGGTTTATAAGCAGATAGAAGAGGTGAGATAAATAGGCAACAATCCTGGGTAGTAGTCCCATCCAGCCAACACAAGGCGCCACAACGATGCGGGCAGAAAGCTTTCCGAACAGGAAAACTGCTCGCCACAAACAACAAGCTGCAAGCTGGAAAAGGAGCTCTCACGGCTCTCAGTGGTGTGCTTCCAACTACAAACGTCGGCCGACTGCTTCCATCGCACGGCATCCCTCTGTGTGTGCACATGGTAATTATATAGCGACACACACACACACAAACCTCCTGGTCACGGTCAGGATCTTTAAAACCTTTTCCCACCGGCATGCACTGCAAGTCGGTCCTGCTTGGTGGAAGCCGCGGCAAAAGCTCGCAACTGGGACATTAACATGCGCATCCAGGAGCAGAGAAAGACAGCTCCTCGCATGCGCAGAATGGCTCCTGGAACCAGCTCGATAACCCGTGGCGCTCCCATACTATACGCAAGACTCTCTCCACCCGAACCTTCCTCCTGCTGGGTTTCATTCGTTCAGCCCGTCAGAGCCAATCCTAGCCGGCAGGTACAACCCGCAAAACAAAGTCACAGTCTCAGCGCGCCGATCTTCAGCTGCACTGCCGATGTCGCACTACGAGGGTGGCATTTCTGGAAGATGGCGAAAGGCCGGGACTTCTTCCGAGTCTACATAATGGCTTCGGAGACCTTGTGCCCATTTCCGGCTTGGAGTTGCAAGCTAGACAAGACATCACACCGTTGCTGGCTGAGCTTGCCAGAACTGTCTGAAGAATGGCCTTGGAAAGAGGAGTTGTGTTTCTTTGCCAGCGGATCTTGGCAAAAAAACTGCTGACTCCACGCTTTCAGTGCTTTGTAATTTCAGGTTGGCATATCTGCCTCGCTTCTTCCAGATACCGCCCAGATTAACTAGATATGCGCAAAGCTTTCTGCGACCCAAGTAGGTAAGCGGGTCGTATCTCTCAGGTTGTCCAGGTGCGAGCGGTTCGTGACACCACCTTGGGCTTCTGCTGTTCAAGGCTCTCGCTACAAGAATACGAGATTTGGTAGAACTCACAGCATCGAAGTCGCATCGACGCGCTCACGGTCATGCACAAAGCTCTGAAAACAGACACGCGCCCACACACATGCAGGTGCTGCGGGTATGCATTATAATCATATCACGAATATACTGAAACTCATTATAACTAGCTAACTGACTAACTAGCGAACCAACTAACTGTTAACTAACTGATCCCTTCCCCTTTTCATCAAAAACACCCCCCTAAAGAAACACCCCCCACCCTAAAGAAACACACATTGGTGCGAATCCTCCCGAAATCATATGTGGCAAAAAGAGCTTCCATGACGACAGCAACAACAGCAGCAGCAGCAGCAGCAACAGCAACAGCAACAGCAACAGCAACAGCAACAGCAACCGCAACACAAACAACCAACGACCAACTACCAACGACCAACGACCAACACCAAACAACCAACCACCAACCACCAACCACCACCACCACCAACCACCACCACCACCACCAACCACCACCACCACCACCACCACCACCAGCACCACCACCAGCACCACCACCAGCACCACCACCAGCACCACCACCACCAGCAGCAGCAGCAGTAGCAGCAGCAGCACCACCACCACCACCATCAACATCACCACAACAACAGCAACAGCACAGCAGCAGCAGCAGCAGCAGCAGCAGCAGCAGCAGCAGCAGCAGCAGCAGCAGCAGCAGCAACAGCAACAGCAGCAACAGCAGCAGCAGTAGCAACCACAGCCACCACAACCACAACGACAACAATAATAACCATAACAAAAATACGAACAATAGCAGTAGCAAGAACGTACAATAACAATATCATGAACAAGAAGCTGCATAGTGATACATACGTACAGATATGAAGACGGGCGTACGCTTGCATGCTTACAGTGCCTAGAGAACTGTACGCACAAGCACCCTGCAACTGTTCCGGGCGTCTATAGTGTACAGCTCGCCTTGCTGCAGATTTGGCCGCAGACAATTGAACTCTTAGGAGCACTTTCCTTTCGACTTCAGGTGCGCAGGTTAAGCAGAACCGAAACTGTCAGAGATGACCTTCGAGCGACGTCAACATGAGCTCAGTCTCGTGGCTGGCATGTGCCCAGACTGCGATTCCAGTACTGGTGAAAGCAAGGGTGAAGCTTCATGGGGGACAAAAAGCTGCACTTTGGTGCTGTTTGCTGCAGCTGTGAGGCGGAAGTGCCATGCCAGCCGTAGAACTCTACACAAGCTACGGGTAACTTACGGAGCTTACAGAGTCCAATCAAGATGCCAGGGTGCTCAGGACAAGCAGCGAGCGCATGCCGCTCCTGACTGCCAGCTCAATGTCGGTGTTCAGCGTGTCACCGACCTGGTGGGATTCATCGCTTCCTTCTTGCTTTCACTGGCCAGTATGACTTAGCAGACTTAGCGACTCCCAGATCGAGTCTTGCAGGGGTCGGAATAGGCACTCTTACCAACTCTTAGAACTTATAGGACTTAGGACAAAGGAGCCTTGACGGGGACCTTCCGAAGGCCCGGGTGGGGTGGGACAAGCCACAACTCATAGGCCGCCCAGGCACAATCACCGCCTTGTCAAGCTCAACGCCTCGGTTCAACGAGCGAATGTGTTTAAGTCATGAGGCATACTTATGATTAACCAGGTGGTGGTGACATGTGGTGATGCTGCGATGATGCGGAGGAGATCACAACGAACGAGCCAAAGGCGTCCATGAAATGCCCTGAGAACGGCACTATCTGGCTAGGATGTTCGTGGGATCGCGGCTGTCTCAACTATTCTGCACAAATGCTGGTTTGCCGTGCTGGCTGAAGGAGCTCTAGATTGCTCTTAACTCTTAGCCTTAACTTAACTGTCTTAACCTTTGTGTCATGCTCTTGAGTTTGCTTGAGACGACCCCTTCGGCCAGGGTGCCATAGCCCTCCTCTTCTACGGGCCGACGCAAAGCCTCAATCAGCACTTCCTCAGAATAGAGTCGGCGTCTGTACTCGGGTTCCAGGTTCTAAGATGTGCTTTTTTTTGTTTCGAGGTGAGAACGGGTCTTGCGAGAGCTTCTGAATCACCTTTAGTTCAAGTCTGGCCGAAATCATCTTACCATCGAGTCCAATCTGGCATTAGGTGGAGTGGCCGGATTGCAGCGACGGTTTGCATTCAATATGCACACACCCACACACGCCCACAATGCTCCCCGCCCATCCAGGAACACGTCGGTTTATGGGACATGATGGGACATGTGTGCGAGCCGGTGCTACTGCATGGCATGTATCACCAGTCGCCTGCGCTCGGAGACCGAATCTTTCAATCCCGAAGCAGCCATCCGCCCGAGCTTCCGATGGCTTTCCCACATCAATGGCCTCCGCAGGTCATTGAGTCAGAATCTGGCTCAGCGCTCAGTGCTGCGCGCACAGTCTTCACGTAAAACCTACCATGGTCGCACAATCTGGCAGCTGACATGCGGGTAAACAAAGCCACAGAAATTCAAAGAAACTGCGACAGCCTTCGCAATCAGTCATGCCAGAAAGGGGCGATCGTGAACTACATGCAATCTGTCCTCCTATCCGGTCCTCCCTATGGCCGACGGTGCCTGGATGTCTGCGCCCACGGAATTGCAAATCATTTGGCACATGGTTCCATTTCCGACCTTTGACGAGCTCCCCTTCAGAATCCATCAACGCATGCTGCGGGAAGTCGCATCGGTTTCTGCCACATGTTGGCTGTACTAGTCTGCTGGTCCCAAAGTCCCACATGTGCGGTAGACTTTCTGTGGCGACAAGGAACGGCCGGAATGCTCCGGTTGCACCAGTTGCGTCCAGGCAGGAAATCCTCTGCGGTAACACCCAGGACCTCGACGCAAACGGTGGACTGGCTGCTATGACTGCTATGATATCAGACTGGATCGAAGCACAAAATTGGAATCTGTCCTGTCAAGCAAAAGGCCTCTTCTGACTGGGCCTGGGTACAGTTAGGACTTTCGCTTGTCTTGGCAGCCAGGGAGCCCCTGCATGATCGGATGAGCACTGCCTCGGAGCAGAGCAAAGGATATTCCGGTGCTTCGGTGTGTCTGGACACTAGCCATGGCGGCGAGCCTACTATAGAAACTTCGGAAGGCCTGCCAAGGCTGATGCTACATTGTTTCCTTGATGCGGCTGTTCTTGTAGAATCCATGGTGTGGCCCGATTCGGTTGATGGGCTTCGTGGGGACCAATGACACTCTCGTCAAGCGGCACAATCTGCATCACGTTCTGCCCCTCTTCTGCCTCAGCACGGTTCCCTCCAGCCCAAGCTGCTCACCATGTCCATGTCTCTATATCACAGAAGAAAGGTTCAAGTGCATGGAAAGAATTGTTGACTGTACTATTCCAACAGTCATGCACGGTCCAATGAAGTATGCCTGGTGCCCAAAGCTCTCCGTTAACCTGCAAAGGTAGATCCTCGGTAGCCAAAGACACTGTTAAACCAAAAGAAACTGAGTAAGGCCCAGTGGCACATTCGCGGCTGAACTTGAGGAAGGCAGCAGCGACGGCCACTTTGAGAGCTGTGAGCTGTTGGTCCCAGCCTACCTTGGTGCACACCAATTTGGATGAATCACAGCATGAGTTGTCGCTTTGTCGCTCGAATAAGGGCTACCAGCGCTGCTGTAGTAGACATCCCGCTGCTGTAGTAGACATCCAGCAGGAGTCAACGAAACAACCAGGACACGAAGACTGAATCGCCGAAAATGTCCGCTGCGACCATGCTGCAACGATCGCATCGACATCTTTGGAGCGATGAACCTTGAAAACTTGTGTCTACTTGGGTCCAGAAGCGGAGCCCGATGCATGCTTTGGGCTACTGTGCCTCCGAAGTGCCATGAACCAGGTTTAAGCGGCTCGTGAATTCCAGCATTCCCTGAGTGCTAAACCCTTTCGCTTTTTGGCCGCTTGTTGCAACCCTACAGCAGCACAATTACATGTCTTCTGCAGGCTGGCGAGCAACTTGCATTCAGGACTGCTAGCACAGAAGCTAGCCCAAGGCGCGACTCAAGTCAGTGTCCAGCAAAGAACTTACACCTTCATGTAGATGATGCTCCTTGCTGCTATATTGGCAACGATGCATCCTGGCGACAAGTTCGGTCACGTTGTCCTTCGTCACCTGGGTTTCCATTCGGCCCGAGGCTGGGGAGCTCTAGGTTCTAAAGATTCACGGGCGTTACAACAATACTTTTTAGCCATACAGTAACCCACCGCTCAACTAACTGCACCGAACCGGATGGGTAGGGAAGGAGCCATACCGTACCGAACCAAACCGTTCCCTGCCTACACCCCTTCACCCCCCACCCCCACTCCCTACACCCGCACACCCCTACACCGCCACACAACACCCCACCTCGACATCCCTACACCCCCACAACTGACCAGGATTGAAAGGGTGTAGGTGTAGGGGCGTGGGGGTGTAGTGGCGAGGAGTGCAGGGGAAAGAGCCGTGCTTTCAAAACTTTCCTGGAAGTAATACCGAGAGGCATAGTGTCATACCAGATCGATTCGTGACAGCCGTGAAGATTGATGCCAGGCTGAACTAAATTCGTATATGCCCAAGAGCCAGGAGACTCCTCGCAGCCAAGATACAGGCTTGGAGTACTCCGGCTTTGGGCAGCCGTCCTCGTCGATGGTGGCCTCTGACAGTAGGCTGAATCTCTGTGTCATGGCCTCTGGCCCAAGAACGTAAGTAGAACTGGTGACTCTTCACAGATCCGGGGCTGAAAGCCGAACATCAACGACCCGGACGCAACATCTGCCCACCCTTGTTCAGATTGTTGGCTCACCAACCAGCTGCCATTGGTGGTGCAGTCTACGGGAGATGAGGCTTGACGATCCTGAAAGTTAAGCTGCAAGAAAGTATGAACTGTATCACGACGAGAGGCGACATACTCGGTGATACCTGCCTCCTTCAACTCCTCAGAGTGCAGATAGATTGGGGAGACTGCTTGGTTGCCTATGTGCAGGAAAACAGAACACCGTCGCAAGACTAGAGCACGAAGCTTCCTGATATAGGGCAACATAGGGACTTCGTAACATCAACAGGGTTTGGGGAATCACCTCAACGGATTCTGCGTTGGCTTGTTAAACTTGTTTCGGCAGCCGTGCCCTCATGACGGCCCATGCAGACTTCGAACGAACCCATGGCATTCAACAAGCAACCTCGATCATTCCATTCTGGAGTGCAAGGGAAATCACTCGTTCACATTCTGAAGGGTCTTCATCCAGACCCTTCTGAAACCCTCGACCCCACCTGCAAACAAAGCCAGAAGACCCTTCACCCCAACCCCCCAGACCCTAACCATCCTAAACCCCAAAACAACAAGTAACAACATGTCCAATCCCTTGTAGAATCCGTAGATGCCGATAGTTGCCCTGATGACCGATGACCTGTGAGTTTGCATTGTCGCACGTCGATGTCGTTGCCAGGACTCTTCCCAGAAGCACGATAGGGGACTGCTGGACTGAACGATCACCCTGGAAACCCTGGCATAAGATCACACACCTGGTCAAGTCTGCCGCTGGCCAACGGAGTAGGCCAAAACGCAACCGACTACAGTAGTGCAGTTTCGAACTGCTCCCAACCTCTCCTCCAGAAGGCCCAAGTGAGAGCAGATCACGAAGGGCTTTCGGATAAGAGCCTCAGAGATCGCATGCTAGCCGTGGTCGCGCAGAACCGTGTCCAGTGATGTCTAGTGAACTAGATGGCAGCTACATCGGCCTGAGACTCTCCGATGTTCCGGAGCTCTGTTGCTTCTAGGGCTCATCGGGAACTCAAAGACTCAAAGACTCTGTGAAGCTGAGAGACCTTCTTGAGGAACCATGCGCAGGTAAAAGACGCTGTAATCACCTGTGCCAGGGCGGCCCTTCGAAGCAGCCTCCCCAGCTTTTCTGCTTTATAAACTACCTGAAACTCAAGGCAATTCAAGCAACCTCGATGAAGCTCCAAAGTGGAGCATGAGCAGAGCAAAATGCTCACCTTTCGTTGACCCGCATCCACGAGTTTGGTTCTCAAGTCTACTCATTCATGGTTCGCTTCAGCCGGAAGACGAGAAGCATGGCATAGACAAAGCTCTGCTGACCGTTCGGATCGAGGAAGCGTTCGGAGGGCAGATCACGCTTGAACTCAAGCTCTCGCGATGTAGACCACGATCAAGTGCAGCCGGCTCACCCGTGGCAACGGCTACGGCAAATCAGCTACAAGTACAGCACTGCTGCTGCAAGTGTGAATCGTCTCGGGAGACATCCAAACATGCAAACATTGTCCAAGGCGTCTCTATGTTGGGACCCCACGCCCAATGCTGGGAAATCCGGCCTTCTGTCGCGCGAGCTTCCGGGAGTGCTCGTCGTTGGCACACAGCTGGATTCCGTGGTTCAAAAGCCTGGCACTGAAAGCGCCATGGGAGTTGGACTTCTGATCGTCATTGCAAAGGGCCTGTCGATGTACATCCGCCGGGAGTAGTTGGAATCATTGGTGGCAAAAATGACTCTCTTGCCAGCCTTGCAAAGAGTGGCTGGAATTTGTATCAAGCCATACTGCTCTTGGCAATCGTAATCCGTTTTCTGAGGCTCTGCAACAAACTTTACTACAGCACAGGCAAGGAGGCTACTCTCCCCCGGCTTTCGATCGTGGGTTACTCTCGACAATTTCGTCTTAACAACCTAAGTAATTCAAAGAATGTCACATTCGGCGGCAACTCAGTTGGTGCATTGCTGGCGCAGTTTGGCATCATCCCTGCACCCTTGCTTTCCGCCATGCTGCCAGGATGAGCTGGTTCACCTGAGCCAGCAAGAAGCACCGGAAGTGGAAGGCATGATTGGACACAGCCTGCACTGGCCTGCACCACGAGGAACGGCAGGTCTCTATCCATGTCTCTGCGAACTAAGTCTTTGTGTATAGCTTTTGCAGGGCCGGGGCGGGCGACACCCCTCACAAGTACGCCCCTCTGTTGGTGGACCGCAGGGCTCGTTGTGGCAGGGCTAGAGTAAGTACACAGTACGTCACGTCCTTGCCACGACTAACGTCCTCTTCACCCTGACAATGACAGTATCACGACGCTCACGGCATTACGGCATTTGTGTGCATCAAAATACCCGTCTGACGGACTGTCAGTGAGATCTGCAATGTGGTCTCCGTCACATGCGAAACCCTGTTGGGCAAGGCCATCACAAGTATGTGAAAATGTCGGTGCATGTCCCGGCTAGAGTTTCAGGAAGTACGGTGAACCAGTATGTTAAGAAAAAACATCAAACAAAATATGAGACTCTGGTACACGCCAAAAAACTATTTGAGAGTCTCGCCCGGACCCCCTAAACCCAAACCCCAAACGCAGTCTGCTTCTTTTCGAACTCTCTTCCTGCTTGACGAAAACAAGCAAAGATTCTGGATTTCTTGGTCCCGGCTCCAATTTCAAGTGCAAAATCAGCAGTCTCTGAATATTTTCGCATTGCCAGCACCATCTTCTTTTGGGAACCAGCTACTGTAGGTCTGCTGAACCAGCTAGGTCTGCCTCTTTTCGGTGAATTCTCTTCCTGCTAGCCAAAAACAAGCAGAGACCTTGGATTTCTTGGTCCCGGCTCCAATTTCACGTGCAAAGCTAGGTCAGCTTCTTTTTGAATTCTCTTCCTACTAGCCGAAAAGAAGCAAAGACCCTGGACTTCGTGGTCCCGGCTCCAGTTTCACGAACAAAGCCAGCAGTCGCTCCAGTTTTCTTTTTGGAACCAGCTAGGTATGTCTGCTGAACAAGATTTGAGTATTTACGAATTGCCAACACCATTTTCTTTTGGGAACCAGCTGGGTCTGCCTTTTTTTGATGAAGTCTCTTCCCGAAAACAAGCAAAGACCCTGGATTTCTCGGTCCCGGCCCCAACTTCACGTACAAAATCAGCCGTCTCTGAGTACTTTCGCATTGCCAGCACCATTTTCCTTTTAGAACCAGCTAGGCCTGCTTGTGTTTGATGAATTCTGTTCCTGCTAGCCGAAAAATCCTGCCTGGTTGCAGCATTCGGCAAATGTCTGGATGGGATGAGGTAGCGCAATGGGTAAGGCGCCTACGACTTTATGGAAGGTTCTGGGCTCAAGCTCTCTAGCTGTCAAACAAGATATGCACTCAGACTCGTGGATTTCGGACATTTCTTAAATGCTATATCCGATTGAGAAATGTGCGAGACGCTGGTGAAGGAATGTGGTTTTCTAAACATAAAGTTCGACGGTACAACTACAAACCACAAACATGGCTCTGCGACAGTGTTGCTGCAACTTTGGCTCCTACTGCCAGCTTTAATCTCCCTTTAAGAGCCTGAACACATGGACCGATACTCAGGGGGCAACGGCAGAGCGACGAGCGTTTCACCACCTCAACGAAGCCCACCCGACCTTCACCCGAAGCCTCACGACTCATAATCTCCCCCTTTAGCGCCGAGAGAACAAGGCGGTGCGCTGGTTGTCCCCGTGTTGGGACTAAGCCCTTTCTCCACTGCGTGCTGCACAGGCGCATTGTCCACCACCTGCCTCTCCAAATCCATATTGGACATGGATTGCGACTGGCCTCGCACACCCCAGAGGGTGCCTGGGCTCGTTTGAACTATCACAAACGCAGGATGGTCGCTCCCTAAAGTCATGATAGCCAATCCCACAGCGTCTTAACAGCTGCACTGGCAATAGAGTCAATAGGGACCAGAATTTTCCGACGTTTCCTGTCTGCGGATAGACAAGCAGAGTCTCCCAATGAAGCTACAACCTGAAGTTACTAATTAGATAATAAGTAGAGTTCGACGATGGAGCCGCGCCTGGTACTGACAAAAGTGATATCACCCTTTGAGCGGCAGTGGTTTGAGGGTGTGAACCGCCAGTGCCTCAAATAGCGCGGAATTGTACGATCAACTGCTGTCCATCCTACAAGACCTCGGGCTTTGCAAGGCTAAAGTTCTGCGTGTTGTCTTGAACTTAAGTCCTGAAACAGCGGAACTTGCCGCAGGCATGGATAACTAACCATGTGGCCATGACCATCAAAGATATAGGTCTCGGCACTGTCGAACTCCTCTCGTGGCAAGCTACAGCACCAAGACACACACAGCTCAATGCCTCAACCGCAACCGATGAAGGCTGGCAGCTTGAAGGAATACAGAGGCGTGTATCCAGAGATATCCTTAACAACAGCTTCTAAAGATGCGGGTGCAAGCTCGGCAACCGTTTCAGCGGTCCTCACGCTTGAACTGTGTCGCATTGTACCTGGATCTCAACACGAAACAATGTGCTTGCCAGGGAAGGGCTCACTCACATCATCAAGATCAATGCAATGATAGCATCAAGAGTCGTAACGAAGTCCCGCATGCCTGCCACGATACTGCACACCACTGAGAATGGCGCCTATTCCTATCCAGCTGATTGCTCGAGTGTTTCCGTAGCTGATTAGTTGCCAATCATGATCCCCGTTGCAACTTGAGCATATGCCCAAGGAGCACATTTACGCCGTGCCAGCGACAAGCTGCAGAGCTGAACACGGCGACGGAAAAAAGGCGGAATCGCTAACTCATTCGAGCGGCGAGTTCTCGATTCCCTCCGAACCGCTCGGCTCAGGCCCGGGACAGAGCTGCACCTCGCGCATGGCTATCAATCATTATTAATTATAGCACACTATGTTATATTTGGCTATGTTATTAAAAATGTAGTATAGTATGTTATATGTTAATTCATGCAATGCGGTAAATGTTCTCGCACCAGTGATCTGGACAGCCAAACAAGGCACCACACATGTTGATATGGTGACACAGCATCAACCGAGCTGTTTGCTCCATCGAATCGAAGGTCTCAAAATGAGAATCCCAAATTCTGGGCGTGCTAGTTGCTAGCAACTGGGGATCAGTCTGGACCAACGCTGGCAGCTTTGTACGAGCTCTTGAAGAGTGATCGTATCTGAAACATGTTTCGGGACTTTTTCGGGGAAGGGAGCGTGCAATGCATGCGTGTGCGCATCAGCATGCATACACCTCCGAGCTTTGCAACTTGAGACACGTCATCGTAGAGCAACCATACAACAAAAAGAGCCTCTGCAATAGCCCGAGCATCAGGTTTCCAAATCTTTGGCAGATATGCTGATATGTTGGTCGTGGTAGTATTGGCAAAGCTGGTCCTAGGCACGATCCTTCCAACTAGGAGGCGCCTCAAGCTCGGATTCCAGAAGCCAGTCAGCCTTAGATGGAAAGGGGCATCATAGTCATAGTAACTGCACCAAACCTCCTACCTGGTTCTTGGAAAGGTGCCAGCTCCCAATCGGCAAGCGTACACTTACATGCACAGCAATCATAGCATTGTTGGAATGGTCTCACAGTGTTCCTAGGGCCGAAGCTTGCTGTGTGAAAGACGGGGTGAAGCTTTCAAGGGCATCCGTGATGAACCGGGGTGAATTAAATTGGCAGCTACAACGACGAACAAATACAACCTTAAGGAGTTCTGCTTGGCTAACGGCTAACGCCCTGCCGATCTCTGAAACCCTGCAGGGCAAAACCACGAAACCGCTTTTCCCATTCACCCCGACTGGAAAAAACAAACCAGCTGTCACAGGCGGTGCAATGCTGACTGAGGTGCCGAAAGATTCTTCAGACTAACCGACAGCCGCTCTTCGGAGTAGACCTGGGTTTCGTCGCGCGCTCTCTCTGTCTCTCTCTCTGACACCCTGGTCGTTTAGCTTTGGGTAGTCCTGGCATGTGCTGGCCCTCAGCTAGGCTTGGAATGCGAGTCCGAGTACGACCACGATATGGTCTTTCTTTGTCTTTTTGCATTAGCTGTTCCGTTTCCTGTTTTTAATGTGCCGTTCGAATCTTTTCGTTACTCATGGTCATCCTGAAAAGGACCGCTGAATCTGGTTCTCGTGGACTAAGCTACTTTTGCAGGTGCCGGTCAGAAACTGAGCTGTCGGCACTTTTGAGCATCAAACACGCCTTGCCCGGGTGCATGGCCTGGACACTGACCTGACCATGCAGCTAGTTGCAGCTACACTTGAAACGAACGAAAAGTGAGATTCTATTTCCAGCGATCTTGTGGGGCCTGGAACCGCTTCCCCAGTGCCGCAAGCACACGCCCATCCTCCAACACCTCAGATGTCTCGACGAGAAAACTAGCACTGGCGGCCATAAAGCAAGCAGCAAACATCGTGCGAAAAATGAAAGCCGCATGGCCTAACGAAGTGTGAGGGACGTGCGAGACCAAAGAGGTCATGGCAGTTGTATGCAAGGAAACATACAACAGCTCCTGCCGGCAGGAGTGTAAGGCAAAGCTCCGTCTTCACCCAAGATCCATCATTCAGCTGGCAGCCGACCTCGAGCTGTGTGGCACAACAACATCAGTCAAGCACATTAGCGACGTATCGCCATGCATGTCAGTCAGCATGCGTTTGTGCGGAAGGTCGAAAGCCCTGTTCCTAAATCTCGAAATTCCATGAGGCAAGGGCTAAAGCATCTGGCATTTCGTCCTGGCAGGAGCCGTGCTGCGCCACCCCTATGGTCCATCACTGACTTTCAGTCTGGGGTCGTGCTTGCATGAGTAGGGCTCTTGGCTCATCTGATATTTACATCACGAAGAATCGCAGTCGTTGCACCCCTCCTGCACCCAGTTTGATCAGAAGACGATGCTTTCCACAAGAAAGTATCGAACTCCAAAAGCACGAAACGTATAGTAACTTAGTTCGACTGAATGCACTACCTGGGAAATGAACACACTTCTGCTTTCTTGCTCCTGTCGTCGGTCCTTCATCGGGTCGCAGTGCAAAGTGCACTTGTGCTTCGTCCCGTCGCGAAGAACACCCTCTGCAGCACGGCGCTTTGAACGGGCAATTAGTGGTTTTTCATGTGGTAGTGCCACCGTCTGCTTCCAGCCGTGTGTGCATGCATCCAGCAGTTTCCCACGTTTTCAAATCGCAGAAGCTTGTTCACGCACTTCGGTACGAATTCTGTCCCAAGCTTTCCAGCTTCCGACAAAAGGTGTTGCCTCAGCCTGACTCAGGCCAAACTTCAACCTGTAAGAACCCGGCCTCCAAATGAACTTCTTCTCCGGCCAAGCGCCTCAGAGCATTGGTGCACGGGAGATGTAGGATTCGTAACCCAGTAGCCTCACTCTACACGCCAACCCGATCACTCTACACAGCGCGAGACCCAAGGAAACGGTGCGCAGCAAAGACTAGAGCCTTTCGCCCTGTAGACCCGAGAACTGAGGATTCACCCGGAAAGAGCAACTGAAGGAGGCATGTCACACCGTAGTGACCACTTCTCCACGATTGTTCGCCTGGTTGAAGAGCTTCAAGGCCTCCGATGGCCAAAATTCAAAGCCAAAGCCAAGCCTTGGGGTCTACTCGGTGCAACTCGGAAGCACAGACTTTCAAGTGAGAAAAATTAAGCTTCTCCTTATTCTTAGTCCTCGATCCCTTGACTGCCGAACTGGGCAGGCCATTATTTTCCTTTCACGGACATGCTTTGTGATGTTACACTGCAGGCTGCTTATTCTCGAAGAACTGCGAACATCTTGACGACTCCGGACATTTACAGGTTCAATATATGTTGCACCGAAGGTGCACATGGAGCGGAATGCTTCGGAGGCAAAGGCTGGTCAGTTCGTAATCTGCTCCGGAGGATGCCTCTGGATTCGACCCTAGAACCCATCACTATGCCGCAGGATCTGGCGAAGGGCCTACAGGCTCCCTGCTGCGACATGCACAGGTGCAGCTAAGCCGAGGACACTCATGTTGGAGTACCTCACAAAGCTATCGAAGGACACAGTCAGAGATCAGAGTTCGCTCCAAGATTAGGCACCATGGAACCGACCAGCCACGGCGGCTGCAAACAAATGGCTACTGTAGCCACTAGTCGAATGAAGCCGTCCAAGTCTGCTGAGAGCGACTGCAGCCCTGTATGATCCTGTCATCCTGCTTGGACCGAGATGCGATGTATCTGCGGTGACAACGAGTAGTCCGGAGCGAACATGCCTCACCACTGTGGGGCTCTCTCCATGCGGCTGGTGCCCGCTGAAGACCTCAAGGCGGATCGCACTTAGGCTTCTTTATCTCAGATTTCAGGCTTGGGTTCATGTCGGTGGGCTGCAGAAACGGGTGAACGTAGCTGGCCGCTATCCATGCAATGTCTCACTCGCTGCCAGCTCCATGCAATGTCTCACGCAATGTCGCTTGCAAAAGACGTGCTTCGAGATGCACATGCACCACAAGGCAGCCGGCACAAGAAGGTGTTAAACATAACAGCGATGAACCCAGGTTCCGGAGATTAGTCATGGCCAGCGGCCCGCCGAATCCCGGACTTGACGAGGAAGCCCTCGACTTCAGCAGACCGTTGGGCAGGATTTCCTTGGCAGCGACTTCATTGGGCACTGCATGCATATATATATATATATTTCTCATATATATATATATACATATACAAGGTTCAAGTACAGGACATGAGCGGCAAGGAAGCACTGGGCGATTCGTGGTCTGACGCGGAAGAAGCTGCATCTACCAACTAGTAACAAGAAGTTGTTGGGCTTCAGTGCTAGCATCTGTCTCCCCCCTCATCTTGACTATGTTGTGTTGTGCTGTGTTGGTTTGTCGCCAGGGCTGGGGACAAGGGGTCTCCCTCTTGCTTGCTTGCTTGCTTGCTTGCTTGCTTGCTTGCTTGCTTGCTTGCTTGCTTGCTTGCTTGCTTGCTTGCTTGCTTGCTTGCTTGCTTGCTTGCCAGGGGTATGAGGCCCCGGAGGACAGCTGGCTCGGAGGCCTAGCCGACAATCCACAACAGTTCGCGTGGTCTTCATGGCCCCTTCTGGGGTTGAGAGAACGCACGTGTTCCGCCGATTCCCCCGATTGAGCTTGTGAACCCATCCCCCCAAAACACCCCAACTGAAGAATAGAGATGCTCAAGCCGTGAACCGATACAGCCTCTTCCGCTTAGCAGCCACGTTCCTAGCTCTCGTTCATGAGAACTCTTCAGGGAAACTGCTTGCCAGAATGGCTGCCGACAAAGCTTGAAATGGGAAGCACAAGATGCAATCCCACTTCCGCATACGACAGAAGCAAACAAACAAATGTTAAACCACGGTCCCTCTCTCTCTCTCTCTCTCTCTCTCTTCTTCTTCCACACAGTTAAGAGAAGGGCGCAGAACCCCCCTCTGCGCGCAGGCGCGCACTGGTTGTGCGGTCTCAGTGTGAAAGCTACATACGATCAGGGGAGAGCTCTCTCTCTCTTCTCTCTCTCTCTCTCCGGGGCACAGGGTGGGTGCGAGACTCCTCGTGCCCGATGGCGCACCTCTGTGATCGGGCCTTTAGAGGGGGTGAGAAAACTGCAATTCATAAAGCAAGAAAGGATGAGCAAGAGTCTCTCCCTCTTCCTTCCTTTCTTGCTTCCTTCCGAGACTCGCTTCTTCGTCTTCGGGGCGTAGGGAGCTGTCCAGGCTCCCCGCACCGAATGGCGCACCCCATCTTGAGGCTCTTTAGGGGCACAGCAAGTCGGTAAAGATATGGATGCCTAGACTTTCTTTCTTTCTTTCTTTCTTTCTGCCGGGCGTAGGGGTCCGCAGGGGACCCTCAGGCCATTGGCCCGCCCGACCACTCTTTTTACTATTGAGTGGTCGGCTTTGGGGTCGTCTATGACCGTTGCAGAAAGGGACTTTGCCTAGACTCTCTCTCTCTCTCTCTCTTTCTCTCTCTTTCCCTCTCTCTCATCCTTGGCTCGCACTGAATGTCACTGTCATTCAGTCATAGGAGGGTGGAATGTGCCTACGGTAGGTATTGGCAGCACCTGCGAACAGCCACCATGGCCGCACTTCACAGTAAACGACCCAAGCTTCCCGAGTGTGTCGTCTGCAAGTCTGCAACAAACCCCTAAAAATTCTCATGACACGTCGCTCGTGGCAAAGTACTCAGCCCAATAACAGCAGAGCAGTTCTTAGAACGATACCATTGTTGAACGGGTTGTGGTAGACGATGGTCTTGTTGTCTGCCCCTCCTGCGCATGCAGAAGCTGCAGGAGTCCATCCTCAACATGTATTCTGTGAATGTTGGGCAGGAGCTGCCAGCTCATGGAGCCTGTCGGCTTGACATCTAGCTCTGCAAACAAACAACTCGTCTAACTCAAGGTCGGACGGCCACTTGCCGACATAATTGCTGAGTTCGGCTAACAGCAGCAGCTTGCGCATGCAAACAGAGGCAAACAGTACAGTAGCAGATTACACAGAGTCTGTCGGAAGCAACTAGCCGGCAACCTGGGCATCCATAGTCGATGAGGAGGTCCTTGAAGCAAAGGGGCTCTTACGCGATGCAGTTGAACACTTTCAAAAGTCTTTGACGCACAGATGATTCTATCCAGCGTTGCATGCATAGATGCTCGCTGTGTAGTAACACAGGTTTTCCGAAATCAAAACCTACCGCTTTCCTATCACCGGATCTTCGTCCGAGCTCCCCAGGACCCAACCACGCGGGCAAGTCAAACCATTGTCCCTTCGTCAAGAGTCTGGAAATACATGGAGCCAAGAATCACCACCGCGGCGGTAGACGCCGTCCTCCTGCCTCCAGGTGGGACGTGTGTCGAAGTCTCGGAGCTGTGCGTCCTCTCGTCTTTGGCAGCGAGAAAAAGACTCTTAGGCTGCGTGCTTTAGATGGGCGTGAGGTCACTGAAAAGCTGGACTTGAAGTCGAGAGCCAAAGGGAGGGCCGGGCAGCTGCAGCATCCACTGCAACCGCCGACCAAAGTGATGAAAGTGATGCCACCAGGTACTGCGTAGGTTCTGCAGCCTCTAACCGACCGTTGAACACACGAAATTTCTGAAGATGGATCTACACATGATGTCGTCAAGGAAGTAACTTCGGCCTCCAGGGTTGATTTGGGAGCAGTGAGGCGGAAGATAAGTAACACGAAGCACGCCAGAGAACACCAATAGAACTCTGTGCATGAGGTTCCTATGCGCCGAGAGAGGAGACAATGCTTTCTTCACACTGTCGGCTTTGTTTTTAAGTCTGCACCGAATCGGCAACGAGAACTTTCATCATTCTTGACACGCTCGTGCAGCAGGTATTGGCTGAATCCGATGCCCCACAAGCAGATTTCGGAAAACGGCTCTGCGGGTCCGTTTTGCAGCAGAGCAGCGAAGCGCCTTGCTGTTCGTCAGCTTCAGAATTCAAGGCTGGCACGGCAAGCCATACCAAACAGGCAGGCATACAGCATCGACGCGACTCTCACGATGCTGAGTCCGTGTCGTCTCGCATTCCGGTTTCGGGCAGAGACCGCTACTGAAGCTTGGTTTTGACCATCGCTGCAGTCAAGCCCATAACATATCATCGGTCCCCGCTGCAAGGCCCATGATATCTACAGTCTATGGTAACTGACTCACAAATTCAATATGCACAGGCTGTGCACGGAGAAGTTCACATCGGCGACGCCGCACCCGTCCAGGCGAGCGACACCATGCCTGAAGAGTTCGACCTCTCGTCTCGCAAGCCCGCAGAGTCCGATGCAACCGCAGTGAATGCCGGATGGGCAGACCTGGGCTGATTGATAAGATAATCGAACCATGTTTGAGAGGACCACTTAGGATTTCGCCGCAGCCCTTCCCCAACTAACTCAAACGCCTTGATGCAAGATTTGCATCGGTCAGCCAAGTCCCAACATATCTCGCCTGCTCTCAATTATGCCAGCCCGCTGCGGCTGAGCTGCTGAAAGCAGGTTAGCCCTCAGCCACATAGCGACGATGCCTCCATACGACGGAACATCTCGATAGTTGATACTGTACAAAGTCGCACAGGCTAGGCAGTGTACACAAAATCAAACTGATTAATGGAGTCCACCTCACTGGAAAGACAATCTACAAAAAAAACTTCTCGGATCGTCCACACAACTGCGCACAACTTGTCTCGAGGCTTCGCGAAGAAGAGCTCGTCGCATCTTGCCCATGAGAACATGGACACAGTTGCACAGCTAACACCAACGGGAGACTGTTGGGTCCTATACTGTACCACTGAAAAGCGTTTCTCGAGCTCCAGACTGCCGGAGCACAATCTGACCCTCAAAATGAAGCAATTCCAGCATCATTCTCTCAAGCCGCGAGTTCTCAGACTCGCATGGAATGACTGTATAATGTGAGGTTCAGACTGGTTCAATGCAGATGGGCTCCGTGGCAGCCTGGAAACAACTGCTGGTGTTGGAATGTCGATTTGGCGGGTGGACGATCTGAACTCGCCACTGCAGCCGCCCCTGAATGTGGCCTCGATAGCTGTTGGATAACTGTGTGTCTGTGTGTTCGTGTGGGGGTTGAGGTAACATAAGCATATGCATAATGTGCTAATTCTATCTAATTCTTGCATTGCCAGCTGCTTTAAGTGAACCGGCAAGCAACGACGGCTTCGCAGTTTCTAGTCCTGATGGCATGCATTCGGCCGGCCGCAGGATGGCTGGGGAATTTGAGAATATAACACAGGGTAATGAAACACCCTATGTTACTTCGCACAATGTGCTTCGTTGTTGCGTTTGTGGGGCTATACAGGCATTAAGGACTGTCAAGCCCCTGTCTTTCCTGGCCAAATCCCTGTGTGATGGCGTCTTGCCCGCACAAGCGCTTGTTTTCGGTCTCATTAGTGTCGATCTTTGTGTTGGTAGTCATTGAAAAAATTTGTCAGGCAAAGTATGCAGACACGCCCCCACAGAAAGCTTTCCCCATCCGCATTCCCGATGGTTCGCTGCAATACCCCGCTGCATCACGCCACGTGCCCCAAACAACATGTCGCTTCTCTTCCCCCAAAAACTTCGAAGCGACCGCTGCAGACTCGATTGATGCTCATTCTGCAGTATCGCCAAAAGATCGAAAAAGAAACCTCGAAGCAGTGCTCTCCGGCCTTGGGAGGTCCGGACGATCGGGTCCCGGTCTTCCCGGGGGCGGCATGACGCGCACCTGCAACTTGGGAGTGCCGGCTTCAGGCACAGAACGACAGGCCACGTTAGGGACACAGAACCTTCGGGACAAGTGCGATCCATTCGAGTTTTTGGGGATGCCTCTCGAGACGAGCATGGTTCCGTTGATGCGGTAGGACTGACCAAAATGATGGGCAGCCGCCAACTCGCTGAGACCCCGCCTCTTTGAGCACAGGCTTCCTTGGCTGCACAGGATCATCTCTCGGCACTTGCAACTTGATCAACTTGTCAAGAGGGTCGAAGGCTCTCCCTGTTCCCTCCAGGATGCAGAGCGGTCAAAGCCATGCATAGAGCAGGAAAGCGTCAGTGTCCAGGAGAGGCAAGGAATCTCCTGAATCCCTCCACCTCGGTTGCTGACTGGCCATGAGCGATTCAGAAAGCATAGTTTCACAAAGACAGACATCAAAGAGAATGGCAAGCAGGCAAACACGCATGGACATCGAGAGTAAGCGAGAGAGACTCATACAGATACAGAGAGAGAGAGAGGGGAGACACAAAAGAGGAAAGCAAGAGCACGGTGTCTTTGCATGTATGTGTAAACACACACACACACACACGTATACATACATATACATATACATATACAGACACGCACGCACACGCACACGCACACGCACACGCACACGCACACGCACACGCACACGCACACACACACACACACACACACACACAGACAGAGAAACACACACACACACACACAGA